CAAAGTTTTTAGGTGGATGGTGATTAGAGATGAAGTTCAAATACAGCCATTAGACTTGGAGCTTACAAGTATTTGGAGCAGACCGAGTCCTAACTGGACAAAGTGCCGGGGCTGTTTTATTACCTTTCCGTATAGTGGGCGTGTCACCATCTGCAATCAGTTGCAAGCAGTCTTGAGTGACTGAAAAACAAAAATATATCATTCTAGTTACTTGAGTAGAAATAGTAAAGGAACTAAGGTGACAGAAAATGCAAAGCTAAGAATTCATTCATCCAGAAACACTAAATCAATCATAATGTTCCCATTGCTTGCATGATATTATTCTTAAATCAATTTGCTCATTGATTTCAATATATATACTTGAAGGTCATGGCACTTTGGAAAAACCTACTTGGTATTGGAATACAGTAAATATATCATCTATACAGTTTAATCTAATTTTCTTTGAAATATGGCTGTATAGAAAGCAAGTTTAATCATTTGTTTTTCAAGTCTACCAGATACATGAAACAGTTAAACTTAATATACATCATTCTAAAACAATCTGTTGTTTGTAAAAAAAAAAAACTAACATTAAATAAGGACTTACTGCTACTGAAAATATTACTCTTAACACTACTGAAAGTGAAAATAATTGCTGACAGTTCTTGAGCAGATGTAAGTGTAGACAGGGTACTAAGGCTTAGTTAGTATATGCTGCCTCCTTTTATCATCACAAGAGTCCTAAAAATTAGATATTGGAAACTAAGGCTTAGAAAGTGTAAACAGTTTATTCTGGGCCTTAGAGACAGAATATGACAAGACCAGATTTTAAACCCCACTTGTTTCATTTTAGAGCCAAAGTTAAGCTTTTTGGTAAAATCTTTTGGACCAACAAGAGAAAGGGAGATAGAACATCTTTTTAAAATAAAATGGAAGACACCCATAAGATGGCATAATCAGTAAAGCTTCTCAGAAACATCAATTCACATCACCTATTACATGTAGAATATCCCTACGGAGTAAATAACAATTGCATTAAATAAAGAGAACTGCCTTTAGATAAAAGCAAATTAAATACACCTTCTGTTGGATCCATAGCTGGGAAAAAGCAAAGAAGTAAATATCTGTGAAAAATATGGAACATAAATCTAAACTTGTATGTTTTAAATTAAAGAAATATTAGTTTAGTTTGTTGTCTAACAAGTATTTTACTCAGAGTTGAAGTAATACTTTTAAAAACATGCTTCTCAATGTACACATTTTAAGAACTTGACAGAGTGAGGAACTTCTACTGTAATTAATTGGTGATTGGCAATTAATTGAAAAATTTCTAGTAAGTCATGTACCACATAATGATATTTAGGTCAATGGGAACACATATGCTATGGAGGTACCATAAGATTATAAACCCACATTTTTATTGTATCTTTTCTATGTTTAGATATATTTAGATACATAAATACTTACCATTGTGTTACAATTGCCTAAAGTATTCAATACAGATTTGTAGCCTAGGAGCAATAGTTATAACATGAAGCCTAGGTGGGTAGTAGGCTCTCCCATTTAGGTTCGTGTAAGCAACTGTATGATGTTTGCACAATGATGAAATCACCTAACAATGCATTTCTCAAAATGTTTCCCTGTCGTTGTGTTTAAAGCTTGGAATAACATACTAGTAATTAAATAATATTCTGAGGCTGCATAAGTTCATACTATTAAAGGGTGATCATATAAGATAGTCTGTTAAGATATTCCCCTTGGTATTTAAAGGTGGAAATATACCATTAAAAACTACAATTCTTTTATAACCATAACGGTTTCCTAACACATTTCTTTTTTTTTTTTT